TATTTTTTTAAAATTTTTCCATCTTTTTAGAATATACTAAATTTTGATTTAAAAAACCTGGTTTCTCTTTGTCGCAACAAGGGGTAGTAAATAACATAGATAATTTTTAGCGCGTTTTTTTGTATTTACACACATTAATTTGGAAAATCTTGCAAAAATAATTGTCAGATGTTAATGAAACTTTCAGAAACTATTCACAGATGATTGAAATTATTATAAATATGTTTTTTTTTTTTTTTTTTTTTTTTTTTATTAAAATCATGGCAGAAATATTTTTTTTTTATATTTATTAACACCCCCATAACTAATTTTATGAAAAATTCTACAAATTCGAGACCATCGGTTTTAGTGATTACAAAAAAGCACAAGGCTTTGAAGAATGCAAATCATGTTTTTTTTTTTTTTTTTTTTGCCAACGTGCTTGAAAATCAGCTGTGAATTGTAACATACAAAACTCAATAAAACAAATATATTATTTAGTTTCAAATGCTTTTATTTGTTTTAATTTGTTTTTATGAATATGGACAATATTTTCTGGAAGCAAAAAATTTTTCAATGAAAATTGAATTTTAATACAATTATTTCTTATTTCTTTAATTTTAAAAAGATTTTAAAAATGTTTAAATTGAATTTTAAAAAATATTTTAACATTAGTTAAAAGCAACATCAACCTTTCAAAATGTCCGTGTGAGATTGTCATTGTCTAGCGCTTTGGTCCAAATTATACAATTTTCAATCAGATTAGCCATGGTAATTAAGAAATGTAATTTTTGTGTTTATAGTCGGACAGTAATTATCAAGTACAGAAGACCAACCAGAATACAATTTAGTTGCATTATTTGAGTTCAGCATTGTTCTCCGCTGTTAAGCCCTTTTACTTTTCCACAAAACACGTATGGAGAAGTTAATTTGAGTTTTCAATTTCAACTGAGAAGGGTACCTACAAGTAACAGTATCATCTTATGAAATTTAACTACTGCTAAACTTTAATTTATATGATCTTATTTTTATATTAATCTCAGTTATGACATTTTTCCATAAATGAAATATCAAAATTAATAATAAAATGAATGGAAATACAAATAACACAGTAAAATGTAATAAATGTACATGAAATTATAGTATTTTATGTACACTTCTGATAAAATTTCATAAGAAAGGTACCTAAATTAATTAGATACCTTTTTCTTATGAAATTTAATCTCACTATTAACAGTCTTATTTTTTAATTTCTTTATATTTTCCATAAAGCATCGTAAACGTAAAAATGAAAGCTAAGTAAAAATAAAAAATTAGAGCGCTGAAAGTTTTCCTTAAAAGTAACAAGGTAAATAATTTGTTCACTTAAATAATTTCACTTCCTTCCATCCGTAGAAAAAATTCCTCCTCCCGTTTATCTAAACGTCATGAATGTGCCTTTTTGTCAATCGTCAAGGACGCGAAAGGTTATGACCTGCTTTGTTTTATTTTCAAATTACATTTTTTCTCGGCGCAGAAGCTAAGTTAAGCTTGGTTCAAAATATTTTAAATAAACAGTATAATTTCTGTTTTTATTAAAATCAGTTTTGAAAAAATGATAATTGATTTTTAAAAGAATATCAAAGTAAGATTTTAATCTTTTTTATCAAATTGAAAAAGATGATTGAAAATGATTATCTGTCCTTTTTTTTTTTTTTTTTGACCAAAAACAAAACAATATTTTTAACGAAAATTTCAGACGTGCTAGGAACGATTAAAAAATGTAAAAAAATACCCCCAAAATACTTTGATCTTTCCTCTTTAATAATAATATGAACATTAGACGATAAAATTTTGTTTTCGCTGTTCAAGTTTCACTTTTTCATCATGCTATGCTCTTTTGTTTACATTTTCGTGGGTGAGTTGTCCCCTTTCATTTTCACGATGTGTCTTAATCGTGTTTTCAAATTGATTTTATTAAAAAAACAACTGTGTTTTTCCCATTTTCGGCCCCGTTAGAACCACCACAAGGTAATTTTATGTAGTCCTGTGAATTTTGGTGAAATCGGCTAAAAAATGTAGGAAATTCAATCCAACATATAAACGTTACAGACACACACACACAATCTGTGTTTTATAATAAGTAAGATCTTGTAAGTTCATGATAAAAAAGAAACAGTTTATAACAATATTCTTTGGACATTATTAATGAACATGAATATGTTACATTACAAATTAATCATCAAAAGAAGTTGCAATTTTTAATAAGTAAAAAGTTAGCTAACTTGTCTTTTCACAAATCTGATAAGACTATTTTGAATTTATTTAAATATCAATTGTCTGCCACTCTTTCATTGTCTGTTTTAAAACTTCTCTCTTTCTTCCAATAAGTTTATTGCATTAGAGACTAATATACTTAATAAATTGGTCCATGCATATATACTGCTACCCTAATTGATTATATTGAATTTAAATGAATTCAAAAACATATTGTGTGATCATAATAAATTCTTGATTATAACTAAACCAGATAAGGGTGTCAGTTATACTGTTAACTATCATTATAATCCATAAGGTTGCTACTAGACAAAACCCGTGATAGAATAAAGTCAATTGAGTTAACTTTCAAAAGCATTTACTCACCTCAGTTAAAAATAAAGTCCTTTCAGGGGACATTTACGAAGCAACTAGGCTGGTGGGTTCCAAACAACCATGATTGTATGGTTTACCCAAAACTCAAAGATAATGTTCCTTATCACAAATTAAATATAGGAGTAAAAGAAATTGAATACAGAATAGGATCAACCTGTGGTGTTGTTTTCCGGCATTTTGCAACCATGCCACATCTCTCCAGGTCAATAATACCAAGACAATTACTATTCAATTACTATTACTATAGTAAGATTCAAACCGGGGTCTCAAGATCAGAAAGCAAACTTTCTAACTACTCAGTCATATATATATATATATATATATATATATATATATATATATATATACACACACACACAGGTAAGATGAGAATGAATAGAGTACAATTCTGACATTCATAACATTTAATTTAAAAGAGGGCTCGATACAAAGTAGAGCAATATTCTTAAAAGTAACCCTCTTAGTTTTAATGTGTTTCTGTTAAATATTTTACTGTTATAGCTGCATCAATAATCTTGAGAAGATCATAAAGTAACACAACAGTAAAACTCTAAACCAATTTAATAATCTGAATCATAATACAAGTTCCAAGGAAAATATTGTTAAGAATACTGGGCAATGTAATTGTAAGAATCCTGACCAATGCCCATTGGCAAACAAATGTTTAACTAAATCTCTTGTTTATCTTTGTTCTATCTCTACAGTGGAAGTTGAAAAGTTCTATATTGGTAGTACTAAAAATTCTTTCAAGACTAGGTGTTACCAACATATATTGTCTTTTACTAAAAATACTTACAGAAATAATACATCATTTTCAAAACATTTTTGAAATTTGAAATATGATAATAAAACTCCTAAGGTGAAATGGAAAATTTAAAATAATAGCAAGGATATGTAGATCCTTATATGAACCCTGTTTTCTGTTTACATGAAAAATTGCAAATTATTGGGTTCTTTGATAATGCTTTATTAAACCAAAGATCTGAGTTCATGGTAAATTGTAAACACAGTCTACCTTTTTACCTTATAATTCAGTTAGATTTGGAATTTGACAATGTTTTTCTTCGATTTTAGTTGAACTGTGTTGCACCATATATGGCTTATTTTTCTGTCAGTATTAATTTAGAGTTAATATAATTTTGTATTAATCTCCTGGTAGTGTTTGTAACATCTTAGATGAATGTATTGGCATTTGGTTGGTATTTTGACATTTCACATTGATTGGTTATTGTTATTAACACCTTTTTATATAAAGAATCTTTAGTCAACAGTTGCATATTAATTTATCAAGTAAATCTATAGATTTAAATTATTTATGGTTTTCTTAAAGAAGTCATTTATTTATCAACTATAAAAATGTTTTTTATGTGGGGAAACTCACAAAGCATATAACTTGTCTAGCATTTTGTTAGATTACCACTAAATTTTCTTAGGAAATGACATCGTCTAAATGTAGAACATGTGTCCATACACATCCGCTCTTGTTTAGCATTTGTTGATGTCATTGATTTCAAACCTACAGGTCATGACCCATTTATGGAAAATAATTTCTTAATTTTTTAATGTAGGTCTTATTTGACAGGTTGATCTAAGCAAAGCCCATGAACCTTATAATCACCCCCACTCTTTTTTTTTTCGTAAAAAGAGGCTGTATTTTGCTTTTAAATCTGATTAAATCATTCACTTGCAAGTAATTTACAATCATCTGATGAGATGCATTGTATGTAATCGTGTAGCAATTTTAACATGTTTTTTTATGTAATATCCTAAAATAAATATGTGTGTGTATATATATATATATATATATATATATATATAATATAAACTGGTTCTGTCCCCTCTTCAAATACTCTATAAACATATATCCCCCTGGAGTCAGTATAAGCTGACATCTGTTTACTTTTATCATTTTTGAATGTGAAAATTTCACTGAAGCATATTGAAAAATTTACAAGTTTTCATCTGAAATCAAAACATTAACTTGAAGCAATGTGATCAGAACACACACACATTTTATATATATATATATATATATAATGTGTCAGCTAAAAGTGACACCTGGAGGATAAGGGCTTAATCCCAAGATTTTTGCTTATAGCTTCTGCAAGATCAAAGTGTAGTATCTGATTTCTCTTGAAAAGAAAAACTCTTGCTTTGTTCAATTAAAATATTAATATTATAAACTGTTAGCAGTGTTAAGATAATGAAACAACTCCTATATTTTCAGTGTTTAAATTTTCTATGAAGATGAAACTAGGGATTAAAGGACTTTAATCTAATTTTATTTTATTTTATTTTTTTCCAGGAATTGTTTATTCCGTGCCCTGGGGGATCAACTGGAAGGCCATGGCCGAAATCACTACAGTCATCGTCTAAAAGTAGTGGACTACATGTCAAAAAATAAGAAAGATTTTGCACCATTTGTAGAAGACAATATTCAATTTGAACATTACCGTAAGTACTTTTATTACTTTTTGTATAACAGTCTGTTGTACTTTACTATAAGAGAAATTAAGTAAGTTATTTTGAATTAAACTAATGAAGCATCCACATAAACAAAAAGTTATGTGTGCTCACCTGTCTCTGCTTGATTGCAATATTCATGAAATTTTAAGTAGCACTAAACAGTAATGAATAACTATATAATTAAATTTATCATATATATATATATATATATATATGGCCAGATCCAGCATTTTCAGTTATAGGGGTGGGGTTCTGTAGTTGAGATCTAAAGTTTAAATTTTGTGATCATATATATATTAGGTTATAGAAATGAGTAGAGTGTGATCACACACACACACAGATTTAAATTTGATTTTTCTTTACCAATTTATATATCAAATAAATAAAATTCAAACTTTTAGATTCAAAGTGATTATATAGTGTTTATGGAAGAGGATTTACTAAAGTCAGTTTTTGTGGATTCTTATTTACATCGAAGTTTGCAATTTTATCATCGTCTTTGTGAATGTTGCAAAAGAACAAGTGTGTTAAATCTGTCTTCACTCATTGAGCACTTTATTTGATTTCTCAGAAATTTAAGGGGTGGGGATGCACCCTCAGGATCCATCTCTATCTATCTATATATATATATATATATATATATATATATTGAACAATAAAAAATATTAAATTAAAATCTTCAGACACATTGAGTTGTAGATTAATATTCTTTCGTTTTTATTATTATTATTTCATTTAGATTTCTCGACTAGTTTCAGCCAACATGGCCATCATCAGTAGAAAAAAAAAATTTTTGCTTGCTAGTAGCAGTGAACTACAAAAATGAATGTCTTGATGGAGAAAATGAACTTATATATATATATATTATTATTATAAAACCCAGGTTGTGTGTGTGTGTTCGTTTATATATTGAATCAGATTTCCTACATTTTTCAACCGATTTCAACAAAACTTCACAGGACTACGTAAAATTACCTTGTGGTGGTTCTGACAGTGCCAAAAATTGGAAAAACAATTGTTTTTGGATGAAATCAATTTGAAAACACGATTAAGAGGCATCGCTGTTGCGAGAACGAAAGGGGGAAAACTCATATCGAGTTATACTTATTATAAAACACAGGTTGTTTTTGTGTGTGTTCGTTTATATATGGGATCGGATTTCCTACATTTTTCAACTGATTTCAACAAAACTTCACTTTTTTTTCTTTTTTTTTACATTTAATTTCATTTAATTTACAATTTTTGTAAATCAATAAATATTATTAACCAAAACAAAAAAAAAACCCCACTGCTATGATATATATATATTATACACTGTTACATTAGACATGTTCTAATGTAACAGTGCATAATAAAGTTATTGCTCTACTCTTGTATTGAGCCCTGTTTTAAATTATTACTGTTTTGAACGTTGGAATTTGTTCTTTTATATGTGTAAATATTCTCTTTGCAATATATATTGAATAACATATGAACTGGTTCTGTCCCCCTCTTCAAATAATCTATAAACACACACCCCCCTGGAGTCAGTATAAGCTGACATTTGTTTACTTTTATCATTTTTGAATATGAAAATTTCCCTGAAGCATATTGAAAAATTTCCAAGTTTTCATCTGAAATCAAAATATTATTTATTTTATCGTTAGCAGATATGCTAATCTACATGAAAATAGTCCTATATACTATAAAAAATTTAAAATATGACCCAATGGTAGCGCTTCTGTTTTCATAAAATACCTGACTCCCCAGAGATGTTCTACCTTTGCAAGAATGAGATCAGACCAAAAATGGAGTACTGTTGCCATAGCTGGGATGGAGCTGCCCAGTCCTCACTTGCTTTTGAACTCCCTCAAGATTGGCATCTACACCACCTGAGAAGTAAGTTCCACTTGAGCAGCTTCTTCCTACAAGCCACTGCTCTATGGAACTGACTCCCAATCTAATTGCTACAATCTTAATGGTTAACCCTACACTTGAACGGATTATTGTCTCCACCTATCCACATAAAATGTGCTTCATACTCTGTAACCCTCTACCTCAAGTGGCTCCTGGGACTTATACAGGGTGAACCGCACTGTAAAAAAAAAAGAAAAAAGTTCAATGCCAATATTAGATTCAGCACTCCAGGAGGCACGGTGGAGTAATGGATAACAGCTCGGACTGAGGAATCTGACACCCAAGTTTGAATTCCAGTCGAATCCATTACATTCACTTATGAGGATTCATACCATTCCCAAGGGTTAATACCCTTGAGAAAGGTATGAATCCTATTCTTTTCCCCCCCCCCAAGTTATGGGTAAATAGCAGGACAGACCTGGTTCTATAGCCTTGGATGGCTACTGGTCTACCGCAGAAAGAAACAGCAACCTACTACGGGGGAAAAAAAAATCTGCCTTGTCAGTCATGTATTGAAAGATACATGATTGCCTAAGTGTGTATCATGCATGGCACATAATTGACTGACTCCAAAAAAACATAGGGATACATGTCTAGATGATAACTTTCTTGTGTTTATCAGAAAATCAGGTTGAAAACCTAATATTTGGTGTTCGGCTTCTGGTGTCAAAATCATCTTCCTGAGAATAATTTTATTACATTTTGGAGAGAGAAAAAAAAAGGAGGCAAAATACGGTAAAGAAAATTAATTTGGCTGAATTTTGTGTTTTAAATCTACTTGATATATGTCATTTTTGAAAGTATGCCAAGATAAACTTGTGCATCACATATAACATTAATTTCAACAAGATTCCAATCAAAAAGAGGCTGTAAAAGCAACTATCTAGAATTGACAATTTAAAAATAAGTGATTAAACATTTGTGAGTTTTGATTAGCTTCAAACAATCATAACTTGACAAATGCTTGGAGTTAGGACAAAGTTAGACCAGTTCTGAAATCTTGAGACTATCTACTTTCAAACTGGATATAACAAATAAATTTGGAAATGTTCCCAAAATGCCAAATGCTTATGAGTTGACTGTATTTTGAGAATCTTGAATATCTGTGTGATCTGGAAAACCAGACAAAAAATAAAAAGAAATTAAAATTCATTGATTGCATTGCTTTGGTTGGAAGAAAAAAAAATTTCTTTTAAATTACTTGGATAAAAACATCAGATAGCTTACATTTAGGATGGATGAATTCTTACATATGATTTCTTGGCCAAAAAATACAGGCATGACTTGTGAGCAGAGAAGCGGTATAAATTTGGAGCTTTGCTGTTATCGAGCCAGTCTTGGAAAGTGCATTTGATAAAGAATAGAAGATAAAAAGTACTGGGAAGGTGAAATTATAAAAATTCATAGAAGATGATACAAGATAGTCGAACAAAAAGGTAAATTATTTACATTATTCACATTTGGTTTATTTATTGGCTTTATCTTTGCTATTATAAAGAGAAACTATAGCAAGGCCTCAGCAGTCAGAACCGAGAAGCCAGGGCGAGTGGAGTCAGAACCGAGAAGCCAGGGCGAGTGGAGTCAGAACCGAGAAGCCAGGGCGAGTGGAGTCAGAACCGAGCAGCCAGGGCGAGCGGAGTCCCGAGAACCGGGCGAGCGGAGCCAGAACCAGCAGCCAGGGGGAAGCGGAGCCAGAACCGAGCAGCCAGGGCAGTGGAGTCAGAACCGAAAGCAGCCAGGGGCGGTGGAGTCAGAACCGAGAAGCCAGGGCGAAGTGGAGTCAGAACCGAACCAGGGGCGAAGGAGTCAGAACCAGGCCAGGGCGAAAGGTGGAGTCAGACGAAGCCAGGGCCGAGCGGAGCCAGAACCGAAGCTAGGCGAAGAGTCAGAACCGAGAAGCCAGGGCGAGCGGAGTCAGAACCGAGAAGCCAGGGCGAGTGGAGTCTAGCATGACAAGCAGCAACTATGTCAGCACTAAGAAGAGTAGTTTTAATACTTTAGCATTCAACATGCCCAACCTGCTTTGTAAATATCAGCTTTCACTGTTCAACCTTCTGTAACCCACCCCATGTATACTCTGCCATAATATAACATCATTGCAAATACTGCAGGAAGTCATGCAAACAGTGAGACTTTGACCATAAACGGTAAGACTCTGGGAGCTGATATTTATGGGGTAGGTTTGAGTGTTGAATGCTGAAGGGTTAAGGCTCAAAATTCTAGACTCAGGATTGTCTCATAGGACAATAACTTAGTGGATGAAAAGCATTAGTCGAATTCCTGGGTTGGGTAGCCTCAATAGAAACAGGGTGAGCAAAACTAAATGACAGGAGTTATGAAAATAATTTACTCTTGTAGATTACATAAAGAGTTCAGTTCAAAATTCATTTTAGGTTACCCAGATTGATGATCACCTGATGAAGGCCAGAGAGCACAACTAGAGGACAATAGTTCACATATAAATATAATATTTCAGAAATTCTAACAGAAAAGTGTTGTAACCTAGAAAAGGTTACTGAATAAGAATAACCAAAATAAAGGTTGGAAATGAAATGGTAATCTTTATGACATTAACAACATACAAGATTCACTAGCAGCGTATAGTAAGTAATTCACTACTAGTGGTGAACTAGGAGTGAATCCCCCACCAGACAGCATATTCCACTGTATTTATGAGGATTGGGACATACCCATCATAGTCCATAGGTATGGTATAACAAAAAGATAAATATATTTTTCAATTAATATTGAAAATAAAATTTAGAAAATGCCACCACACACACACACACACATATATATATATATATATATATATATATTTATTTAGTTTTTTACTTTGCATGCTGAATGAACTTTTTTCAGTTCTTCAATATTATCTCTAGAAGACAAACGTTGCATTCTGTGTTGTCTCTGGATCCCCACACTACTATATAAAATAGTATTAGCATAAAGGATGATTTTTTTTTTTTTTTTGCTTATTCATTTTTATTAGAAGAGAGGGTCAGAAGTGGCAGCAGGAGGAATGACATCACAGGAATGCATGCTGGCATAGTGTACCCTCCAAGGGTGGTCTCAGCTGGTCTCTGGAACCT